CTTATTCATTCAAATATCAGGCCACAGATGTGTGGAGACGGATGCTACAGAGGTCCAGGAGGGCAGAAACACTTGAGTGATAGGCTCAAGAGCTGAGGTGCCAGGTGAGCTGCTATGGAAACCATCTTTAAATTATGCACCTGCCATTTATCAATTGTTTGGCTAGAGACAAATTCGCCCAAATTTCTCTGAAAAGATTGGTATTTAATGGAGGATGATTATTTTTCAGAGCTTGGAGGGAAAAGGGCGAGAGTGAAGTTTGATGAATTGTGGGCTGGAACATCGACCACTTTCTTTAAGTGATAGATTCTCCAGTCACTTTGTCACACATGCCAGGGAGAGCAGATAAAGTTATTTCAACACTACAATTTCTGATGGATTTTTCTCTGTATACCCAATTCCACTGGGTCAAACGGCAAATTACATGCTGTCTGATATTCCCTCCTAGCAGCTTGCTAATAGCCTAATTCAAGGCAGAAACTTCTTTCAAAATAAAAAAAAATATTTGTATAAGTTTAGATAGTATTTTTAAAGATTTATTTTTATTTTTAACTGTGTATATATCTATGTGTCTGTGTGTAGGTATGTGCATGTGAGTGTAGATGCTGGAGGTGGCCAGAAGGGGGTGTTGGATATCCTGGAGTTGAAGTTATAAGATATTGTGATTTCAGTAGGTACTACATTGTAAGGGAAAACTCAAGGGGGAAAAGTTACCCTTCAGCTGTCTCTTACTTTTCCAAATCTGTCCTGACTTGAATGCTGTTTACATTGCTCTTTTCCTTAAGACAGTGGATATAGGGAATATTACCTAAGTTGGCTGTTTTGTTTATCCAACTTTATACTTTAAACAAATAAAAGAAAATTTGTGTTTCTGTCTTTTTATTTTCCTCCCCAAACTACAATGTCATTAACACCCATAATCTGGGTAACTTTTGAAATAAAAAAGAAAAAAAAATTTCCTTCATTGTGTTTTTGCTTAAGAGTATGTGCTCAGAACATGAAATTATATCCCATTGACATCTGCTGGGTTGAAAGTGCTCTGAGTTCCTGTATTTGCTGACCTTAAGTGGTATTATTTGGGGATTTGAGAGTCTGCCAAAGTATAACTTCGGGCGAGGTAGGCACTTTGGTATATTTATGATTCTCTTTAAATATCTCCACACATCTATCACAAGCATTATAGTCATATCTGGGCACAGCGCTGCTTACAAAAGCAGGGTTTCTGCCAATGGCTACATGGGACATGCTACAGCCTGCGAGTAACTGCGCGTGCTACAGTGTGCACAGTTTCCAGGCGGCTACACCGGGGGCCTGGGGAAGCATCTGGATGGCAGAGCATCTCCCACAGAGTATGGATCCTGCTGGCTCCCATGGCTAGCCCTCACACTGCCCTTCCCGTCACAGTTCAGAAGTTGGGAGAATTCGTGAATCAGAGCAAATCTTACAAGTTTTTTCATCTCCCAAAAGCACGCGTGCATATGAATTATGTGTGTTTAAGCACACTCTCATATGCATGCACACCCCAATGCCTGATAACCTTTGCGTGTGCCCATAATTCAAGATCTGTTTTGTCATCGCATTGCTGAACTTAAACTGAATACTATATTTTAAGATGTGATACACAGCTCATGATTCATGAAGCCAATTTTATTTTCGTGGAGGAAAAATTTGGGATGTTACAGTAGAATGTCAGCTTTTCGCTCTATAAGCAACGCTTCAGCTAGACCCAGTTCGTAGTTAAAAGTTAAATATGGCAGAGTGGTTGTAAAACATTTAAATTTATGGGCTGAGAATGCACCAATTATTTTTCCGTTTAGCTTTCCTCTTGTGAAACTCCAGGTAATGTCTCTCTGACCGACTGTCTATCTGTCAGCATGGTGAAGGGGAGTAAACAGACACCTGCCCTTAATTTACAAAATGGGCCTTCTCAGAAATCAGCTGGGATTTATTTTCCTCTTTTACAAGTGGTACACAAAGCCATTCACATCGGTAAGTACCAGCATCAATCTGGAACAGACAGGGCAAAATTCCCCTTTCCACTCCCCAGCCAGTTCCAGCTTACACCCTGCTGCCTGGAGGCAGACCATAGCAATGCCTCCTCTGCCCTGTTACTGGCATGTTCATCTCTACACATCTTCCTGTTTACCTGCCCTTAAGGTAAGTCCTGGGATACTGTCCATATTGTTCTTCGCTCCAACACTCAGTGTCCCTTTAGGGCCACTCATATAGCTGTACCTAACACTCGACCGTATTCCTTCTAATGATGTCAGAGCTTTCTGTGGCATTTGATTTAACCTATTCCCTTTTTGACTTGGCAATTTAAAAATAACATTTTATCTTACACGTTGGGGCATTTTGGCGGCAGGTGTGTCTGTGTTCCATGGACATGCCTGCTGCTTGCAGAGACCAGGAAGGGTGTTTGGAGATGTGAACTGGGGTTACTGATGGTTGTGAGCCTCCGTGTGGGAGCAGGAGACTGAACCCAGGTCCTCTGCAAGAGCAGTAAGCCCTCTTAACTGCTGAGCCATCTCCCTAGCCCCTGATGCGGCATTTCAAATGCTTTAGTTTTTGATTGTTTGTATATGTGTGTCTGTATGTGCACATGAATATATGGCCAAGGAGTCCGGGACAGGGCATCATATACTGCAGCCAGAGCTGGAAATGGCTGTGAGCCACCGAAATGGGTGCTGGGACCTGAACTTCGGTCCTCTGCAAGAGAAGTATGAACTCTTAACCACTGAGCCATCTCTGCAAACCCCAACCTGACAAAAAAATTAACTGCTGTACCCTCTGCATTTTCCTTACCCATATTCCTCTTACCTGGCTTTCTTTTAACACATTTTTATTATATAAACAATCTGTGAAGTATTTTAATTGTCATTAATAATTTCCAAGTGTTTTTCTCCAAGTGACTTAAAGAGACTGATTTATTTCACCAAATAGTCAGAAAGCCTGGCATGGCAGCTCATGCCTGTAGTCACATTTGGGAGGATGAGACAGGAGAACTGTGATGTGTTTGAGGCCAGCCTGGACTACAGAGTGAAAGAGACCCTACTTCAATACATTTAAATTTAAATAAATTTCCCTTCCCCACAAAAATATCTTCTCAAAAAAAAAAACAAACAAACAAAAAACAAAAACAAAAAAACATAAATCCCAGTGTGCAACCACAGCAGTGAGAAGTCTGAGGCTGGGAAATCTCAAGTTTAAGGCTAGCTTAAGCTACATTACACAGTGAGATTCACCCCCCCCCCAAAAAAAAAAAACAATTTAGAAAGTCAGGTGTATCATTCCACATTAAAGACAAGAATATTTTCTTCCACGTTTCTCATGTTTTAATAGTTCTGAAATTTAAACTGAGTCTTTTGATTCCATTGTCTCTTCTCTCTTTCATGATCAAAGTGCTCATATTTATCTGCTGCTTTTCCTTAGACACATAATTTTAGAACTAGCGAAAACAAATTCCCCAGCCCAAGTAGATCCATACCCAAGCATAGTGAACCTTAGCCCAGGAGAGTGTGGTGCAACCAATAATAAAGGGGGAAGGCCTTCCTTTCAGAGATGCAACAGGAGACTGATGGACAGTTGACTTCTCTGCAGGAACTATGAGAGCCAGAAGACAATCAGGTGACTTAAAATTGTGCTAAGCAAACAATTGCCGATCTAGAATACCACAGACAACATTTTTTTTTTTTCAAGAATGAACCTTTTTTTGGGGGCAAGAAGATAGATAACTTGGTGAATAAAGTCTTGCTGCCCAAATCTGAGGACCTAATTTCGATCCTCAGAAGCACATAAAGAGCTGGGCACTGGGACACAGACTTCCCAGAGTGGAGGCAGGCATGCAGAGCTCCGCGGTTGTGGCCACCCAGCCCTGTCTAATCAGTGAGATCTAGGCCAATGAGTGATCCCACCACGATGACACATTTCTGCCAAAATCCAATATCCTGTAGTTTTTGAAGACCATCTTTTTCTTTAGGATAATTATTTGATTATTAATAATTATTTCTTTAGGATGGTTATCCTGCAGTCTGTTGTTATCAATTTTTCTGGGATTGGGGCCTTTAATGTACGGTTGGTTGGCACCGCTTGTGGGGAAATTGTTGCCACCATCGGGGGTGGAGCGCTATTTTGGGTTAGAGGAGGTTAGCACCACACATTGGTGACTTCAACACAGCTCCGGGGGTTACGTTTACTCTCCTCTCACTTTGTTTTCCTATTCCAAGCATCCACCAAAGCCTCGTGTTTTATTTTCTAGGTCTCTTATCCTCCTTTAAGTATAGATACTTAGGTAGAAAGCATCACCCAATGCGAGGCTTACCCCTGGTCACACTTTAAAAAGCAAAGCTATATTTATTGTTTTTAATTATGTGTGTGTATGTATGTGGGCATGTGCCTGTGGAGTGCATGTGCCTGTGGAGACCAGAAGAGGGCGTCAGAGTTCCCTAGAATTGGCGTTACAGAGAACGGCCAGCCCCCTGCTGCGGGAACTGTGGATCTGAATTAATGTTCTCTGCAGGAGCAATATTCTCTTAACTGCTGAGCCATCTTTCCAGTCCCAGATTCATAATGTTTTTGAGCTGATAGCTGAGATCTCAAACACTTAAGTTAAAAACATATCTTGTCCTGTTTTTTCTAGCAGTGAAAAGGTTAGGGCAAGGTGAATTATAGTATGGTGATAATGTGTGTGTCTGCCACTAGTAAAGAGACCTTTAGCGAGTTGAAATCATTTTAGAATTTTGTATAAGATGGAAATCTAGCACACAGTTATCCTAGTTGATACTAAATGCTGTTTTTCTAAATCCTCATATATGCCACATGCAACTACACACACAGTGAGTTTCTACCTAAATTTCATAATAAAGATAATGAACAATAATACTTAATTTAATATTGAGAAGACACAGGCCTTCCCACAACAGATGTCAGGGCATTTGACTGACCGCGGGCCCCTTCTTCTAGACCGTGCATGTGTGTGGGTTCTGCCCCACATTACTTACCTCAGTTCCAATGACAATTTCTTCCCTGGTGGAGTAGAACATAAACTCATAGAGTCTGTAGTGCTGGAATAAGCTGAAACAAACAAACAATAAAAAACCCAAATGTGCCACCAGCATACGTTCACAGCAGGAGAGAAGAGCAACTATTTGAAGGTGTGACTCAAAGGAAGGGGGCTTTGGCCAGGCTAGAAATAGTCAACAGAGGTATGGAAACCCATTTCCTTCATCCCAAAGTAAGCTGCCTGGGAATGCAAGGTTTGCTTTCTGAGACAGCGACAGTGTCAGCAGATCCATTTGTGACACGGAGTGGGGGAGCACGCATGTGTGTCTAGGGTAGAGAAACAGCTAGAGCAGTCGTTTTCAATCTGTGGGTCGCAACCCCTTTGGGGATCACAAATCAGATATCCTGCATATCAGATGTTTACCTTATGATTCATAACAGCAGCAAAGTTACAGTTCTGATGTAGTAACAAAATAATTTTTACAGTTCGGGTCACCACACCATGGGGAAGGGTTGGAGCGTTAGGATGGTTCAGAACCACTGAGCTAAAGCGTATTTCCTAGTTTGAAACCCAGCACTTTCCAGGAGGCAGCAGTCGACCTCACAGAACTAGCTGTGTTTAGCTCTAACCGGACTTAGTCCGGGTATGGAAGGAGCTGCGTTTCTACTTCTGTAAGGGCTCACACTGACACAATGTTTCAAGGTTAAATCAGTCTCTAGGAACACCAGAAAAATGGCACAGCAAGGTCTGAAATCTGTTTTGTAAGGTGTCTGACTTACATGGATATGTGGTCACGTGTCAAAGGCTGGCATACATTAAGGCTTTCTTCTCACCTGAAAACTAGGCGGTTGGTGACTATGGGCTACGCGGGGCTCGAAGTCACAAGCGCTTGCAAATAAATATTTCTGGTAAGTTAAGAGCCTGATGCTGTGTCATTGAGAGTTAAAAAATGTTACTGAAGAGGGCTAGCTTCTAATATCCTGTTTGTGATAATATTTGAATTTTTCTAATTCTCTCCCTGCTGGCTAGGAAAATTAATAGGCTCATAATACAGCAAAACACCCAAGAACAACAAAAACAAAGTGTCTTAGTGGCTTCTCTTTCACTCTGGTGCCTTCTGCTATTTAAGAAAATTGATTTTAATACAACTGAGAAATTAACATTTGCAAAAATGTAGCCACAGAGCATGTGTAATGATGGCTTTTTCTGGACGCCGTAATGGATCAAAGTTTCAATTCATTTGAAATCAATGAAGAAATCCTCGGGCGGCTGGGTCTCTCTGAGTTACATTAGCACTGGGTCTCCCTAAGAGCACAGTCCATTAAAGAGTGCTGGCTGTGTGGGCACAGTCGAATCTGCTTTCTCCTCGGCACACCTTGAATGCTTGATTCACTCATCAACACTCAGAAGGCTAACTTAGCCTTTGACATTGCTTTGATCCATTGGCTAGAAACACACAGGAAGATGAGTGAACTCTTGATAATTCACTGAAGCAAAATAAATTCAGATACCCCCTTCTTGATATTAGTGACCGAGAGAGAGCTGTAGGGTCAAAAGCCTCAGGCTGGCAGTAATTGATTTTGGGGTGTAAAATCAAATACCATAGAGGGGGTCTAGCTTGCTCCTCTCTCAATCAACCTTCCTAAGGCTGTAACCCTTTAATACAGTGCCTCATGTTGTGGTGATCCCCCAAGAAATTTTGTTTGTTGCTACTTCATAACTATAATTTTGCTATGTTATGAATTGAAATGTAAATATTTTCGGAGAGAAAGGTTTGCTACAGGGGTCCTGACCCACAGGTTGAGAACTAATGCTCTAAAGGAAAATCCCACCTTGCCCATTTTGGCCACCTTGTGACACAGGATATAGGATAAAATATTTCCATTCTGAAATGACATATTTTCAGTCCCTGTGTCTTTGTTACATACAGAGTTGTCCTGTGTCTGCTGAGAGGAGACTTGAGCAATGAAAACAGCACCCATGACTTGGACATGATGGTCAAGGTGCACTAAGAAGGCAGGGCCTGGGCTACGAATGGGGGAAGATATTTAAGGGGACCCAAGGGAAGATATTTAAGGGGACCCAAGGGAAGGTATATAAGGGGTCGTCTCTTGAGGGACAGGCTAAGTTCTCTCTCTCCCTGACTCTCGGTTCCCTTCAGCTTCTCCAGGAAGCTGATAGGGGCCTTGCCTGAGCACAGAGTGATAAGTCAGCTATGGGAATGCAGTTATTTCTCCTATTGGACTTCTGTCTGACTCAGGTTCCAGATGATGTCGTCCAACTCTCAGGTTAGACCTTGAAGCAAGATGGCATAAAAGGAAAAAATTGTTCTAGTTGGCTGGCTCAGTGTCATGCACTGTTGGGCACAAAGTAGGGATGGGGCTGGTTTTCTTACAGTGCGATAGACATATGTGGTTCTCAGAGGAAGAGAGACCTCAGTGAGAAACTGGGTAAACAGTATTTGCAGTTAGAATTGCATGTAATACATATGTGTCTACATCTATCTATGTATTGCACAGGCAGATAGCTGATAGCTCTCTCTCTCTCTCTCTCTCTCTCTCTGTGTGTGTCCTTATTTAGATTGCCTAAGCAGATAGCAGTAATACCCATACTCACATGGAGAAGAAATTTTGGTAGCAGTATTTCCAGACAACAGGTAAAAATATATCATTTAGACTAAAGTGAGAGTATCTGAAGAAATGTAATTTTTAAAATAAATTTATTCATTTATTTATTTTCCATCCTTATAACAGCCCCTTCCCTCCTCTTCTCCTAGTCTCACTCTCTTCCTTTTATTCCCCCTCCCCTTCTCCTCAGAAAAGGGGATTGCCTAACCTTCCCTCCCCTTACAAATCCACTCTGGCCCATCAAATCGCATCAGGACTTAGTACATTCGCTTCTATTGAGTCCAGGCAAGGCAGCCCAGCTAGGGGAAAGTGATCCAAAAGCAGGTAGCTGGATCCATGTCAGATACAATCCATGCTCCCCTTGTTGCTAGGGACCCACATGAGGACCAAGCTGCCCATATGTGTCGTGAACCTAGGTCTAGACCATGCATGCTCTTCGGTTGATGCTTCAGTCTCTGTAAGCCCCTATGGGCCTAGGTTAATTTTACATTGCTGATCTCCTTGAGGGGTTCTTGTTCCTCTCCCAAGACTCCCCTTGATCCACCTAAAGTTTGGCAGTGGGTCTCAGCATCTGTTTCATTCTGCTGCTGGTTAGAGCCTCTCAGAGGACAGCCATGCTAGACTCCTGTCTGCAAGCATAGCATGGTATCATTGATAGTGTCAGGGGTTGCCTTCTCCCACGGGGTGGGTCTCAGGTTGGGTCTCACTCCCTCTTTCTCTGTACCATCTTTATCCATGCACATCCTGTAGGCAGGGTAGATTGGGGTTGAAGGTTTTGTGGGTGGGGTTGGTGTCCCCTTCCCTCCACTGAAAGTCCCACCTGGCTAGGAGGTGGCCCCTTCAGCTTCCATGTTCCCCGAATATCCTCCATATCCTCCCAGGAGACTATGCTGCAGTAGGTCTCCAGCTTGTCTTAGAGATTTCCTCCCCCCTTGGTTTCCCATCTCTTTCCCTGCCCTCTCGACTCCCACCCCTACCCTCGTCAAGTCTGATTCCCATCCTTGTTTCCCTCCCTACACCCTCTCTCACCCAGTTCCCTCTATTCATTCACTTTGGGCACCCATTTTATTTCTCCTCTGAGTGGGATTCAAGTATCCTCCCTTAGGCTCTCCATGTTGCTTGGCTTCTTTGGGTCTGTGGATTACAGATTGGTTATCCTGTATTATATGGCTAATATCTACTTATGAGTGAGTATATACCATGTGTCTCCTTCTGGGTGTGAGTTACCTCACTCAGGATGATCTGTCCTAGTTTTGTCCATTTTCCTGCAAATTTCATAATGTCCTTGTTTTTAATAGCTGAGCAGTATTCTATTGCGTAAGTGTACCACAGTTTCTTTATCCATTCTTCGGCTGAGGGACATCTGGGTTGTTTCCAGTTTTTGGCTATTTCGAGTAAAGCTGCTATGAACATAGTTGAGCAAGCGTCCTCGTTGTATGGCAGAGCATCTTTTGGGTATATGCCCAGGAGTAATGTAGTTGGGTCCTGAGGTGGAACTCTTCCCAATTTTCTGAGAAAGTGCCAGATTGATATCCAAAGTGGCTGTTCAAGTTTACAATCCCACCAGCAATGGAGGTTTCTCTTGCTCCACATTCTCATGTGCTAGCATGTGCCGTCACTTGATTTTTTTGATCTTAGCCATTCTGACAGGTTTAAGATGGAATTTCAGAGTCGTTTTGATTTGCATTTCCCTGATGACTAAGGAGGCTGAACATTTCATGCAGTGCTTTTTAGCCATTAGAGTTTCTTCTGTTGAGAATTCTCTATTTAGTTCTCTGCCCCATTTTAATTGGTTATTTGTTTTGTTGGTTTTTAATTTCTGAGTTCTCTATCTATTTTGGATATTATCCCTCTGTTGGATGTAGGGTTGGTGAAGATCCTTTCCCAGTCCATAGGCTGCTGTTTTGTTCTATTGACAGTATCCTTTGCCTTATAGAAGCTTTTAAGTTTCATGAGGTCCCATTTATTAATTGTTGATCTTAGAGCCTCAGCTGTTTGTGTTCTGTTCTGGGAGTTGTCTTCTATGCCAATGAGTTCCAGGCTTTCCCCCACTTTCTCTTCTAATAAATTCAGTGTATCCAGTTTTATGTTGAGGTCTTTGATCCACTTGGACTTGAGTTTTGAGCAGGGTGATATATATGGACCTATTTGCATTGTTCTACATTCACTTATCCAGTTTGACCAGCATCATTTGTTGAAGATGCTTTCATTTTTTCCATTGTATGGTTTGGCTTCTTTGTAAAAAATCAAGTATCCATAGGAGTGTGGGTTTATTTCTGGACCGTTTATTTGATTCCATTGATCAACCTGTCTGTTTCTATGCCAATACTAGGCAGGCGTTTTTTGTTTGTTTGGTTTTAACTATTGCTCTGTAGTTAGCTTGAAATCAGGGACAGTGATACCTCCAGAAGTTCTTTTATTGTACAGAATTGTTTTAGCTATCC